ACCACTATTGATGCTCGTGGCAACATTAGCTACAAGGAAATTCCTCGCACCAGCGCTCGCAAGCTTGAGCATTACGTTAAGCACATGGCTGAGGGCGGCCCAATCTCCGAGTACAGCAACCGCACTAAAGTTCAGAACGACCTGAAGAGTGTTTACAAGCTCATTCGCAAGCAGCATCGTCTCTCCAAGTCCTCGCAGATCCAGTTTGATGCACTGTACAAGGACGTCGTTCACGCTCTCAGCATGAACGAGAGTCAAATCATCCCCCAGGAGAACGGCCACTCCAAGAAGGGTGGCCGTAATGCTGCGAAACGCACTACTGCCACCCGCCCTGGCAAAGTGGAGACCATCCCATTCCTGCACCTGAAGAAGAAGACAGAACACGGCTGGGACTACAACAAGAAGCTGACTGGTATCTATCTGAATGTGATGGAGTCAGCCGCCAAAAACGGTCTTAGCTTCCAGGGCAAGAACGTTCTGATGACCGGTGCCGGTGCCGGTTCTATCGGTGCGGAGGTCCTCCAAGGTCTGATCAGCGGTGGTGCTCAGGTCATTGTCACCACCAGTCGCTTTTCGCGCGAGGTAACCGAGTACTACCAGGCCATGTACGCTCGTTACGGTGCCCGTGGCTCCCAGCTTGTGGTCGTGCCGTTCAACCAAGGCAGCAAGCAGGATGTTGAGGCTTTGGTTGACTACATCTACGACACAAAGAAGGGTCTTGGATGGGACTTGGACTTTGTCGTTCCCTTTGCTGCCATCTCCGAGAATGGCCGCGAGATCGACTCTATCGATTCCAAGTCCGAGCTTGCTCACCGTATCATGTTGACCAACCTGCTCCGTCTTTTGGGTTCGGTCAAGACCCAAAAGCAAGCTCACGGCTTCGAGACTCGCCCAGCTCAAGTTGTCCTGCCTCTGTCGCCAAACCACGGCACCTTTGGTAACGATGGCTTGTACTCTGAATCTAAACTTGCTCTGGAGACTCTCTTCAACCGTTGGTACTCGGAGAATTGGAGCCACTACCTCACCATCTGTGGTGCTGTCATTGGCTGGACCCGTGGTACTGGCCTGATGAGTGGCAACAATATGGTCGCTGAAGGCGTTGAGAAGCTGGGCGTCCGTACATTCTCCCAGCAGGAGATGGCTTTCAACCTTCTCGGACTGATGTCTCCGGCCATCGCCAACCTTTGCCAGCTCGATCCAGTATTTGCTGATCTTAACGGTGGTTTGCAATTCATTCCTGACCTGAAGGGTCTGATGACTAGGCTTCGCACCGACATCATGGAGACCAGCGATGTCCGCCAGGCTGTCATCAAGGAGACTGCCATCGAGCACAAGATTGTCAACGGCGAAGACAGTGGTGTTCTTTACAAGAAGGTTGTTGCGGAGCCCCGCGCCAACATCAAATTTGAATTCCCCAACCTGCCCGACTGGGAGGAGGAAGTGAAGCCGCTTAATGAGTCCCTCAAGGGCATGGTCAACCTGGACAAGGTGGTCGTCGTCACTGGTTTCTCTGAAGTCGGTCCTTGGGGTAACTCCCGTACCCGGTGGGAGATGGAATCTAAAGGCAAGTTCTCACTGGAGGGCTGCGTTGAGATGGCATGGATCATGGGTCTGATTAAACACCACAACGGTCCCCTTAAGGGCCAGGCCTATTCTGGTTGGGTTGATGCCAAGACCGGTGAGCCCGTCGATGACAAGGACATCAAGGCCAAGTACGAGAAGCACATCTTGGAGCACACTGGTATCCGTCTCATCGAGCCTGAATTGTTCAAGGGATACGACCCTAAGAAGAAGCAGCTCCTTCAAGAAATTGTCATCCAAGAGGATCTCGAACCATTCGAGTCATCCAAGGAGACAGCGGAAGAGTTCAAGCGTGAGCATGGAGACAAGGTTGAGATCTTCGAAATCCCCGAGTCTGGAGAATACACCGTCCGTCTTCGCAAGGGCGCCACCATGCTCATCCCCAAGGCGCTGCAGTTCGATCGTCTTGTCGCCGGACAGGTGCCCACAGGCTGGGACGCCAGCCGCTATGGTATTCCCGATGATATCATTGAGCAGGTGGATCCTGTGACCCTCTTTGTTCTGGTCTGCACAGCCGAGGCTATGCTTTCCGCCGGTATCACCGACCCTTACGAGTTCTACAAGTATGTTCACCTGTCTGAGGTTGGTAATTGTATTGGATCGGGTATCGGTGGTACCCACGCTTTGCGCGGTATGTACAAGGATCGCTTTATGGATAAGCCGTTGCAAAAGGATATCTTGCAGGAGTCCTTTATCAACACCATGTCCGCTTGGGTCAACATGCTACTGTTGTCCTCTACTGGTCCTATTAAGACTCCCGTCGGTGCTTGTGCCACGGCTGTTGAGTCTGTGGATATCGGTTACGAGACTATTGTCGAGGGCAAGGCCCGTGTTTGTTTCGTTGGTGGTTTCGATGACTTCCAGGAGGAGGGTTCTTATGAATTCGCCAACATGAAGGCCACTAGCAACGCCGAAGATGAATTTGCCCACGGTCGTACTCCGCAAGAGATGTCACGACCCACCACCACCACTCGCGCTGGTTTCATGGAGTCCCAAGGTTGCGGTATGCAGCTTATCATGACTGCACAGCTTGCGCTCGACATGGGTGTGCCCATCCACGGTATCATCGCTCTAACCACGACCGCCACCGACAAGATCGGACGGTCCGTTCCCGCTCCTGGCCAGGGTGTCCTGACTACCGCTCGCGAGAACCCCGGCAAGTTCCCGTCCCCTCTGTTGGACATTAAGTACCGTCGCCGTCAATTGGATCTCCGCAAGAAGCAGATCAACGAATGGCAAGAAGCAGAGCTGCTGTACCTCCAGGAGGAGGCTGATGCCATGAAGGCTCAGAGTGACGAGACCTTTAACGAGGCCGAGTATATGCAGGAGCGTGCTCAGCATATTGAGCGCGAAGCTATTCGCCAGGAGAAGGATGCTCAATACAGTCTGGGTAACAACTTCTGGAAGCAGGATCCTCGCATTGCTCCCCTCCGTGGTGCTATGGCTACTTGGGGTCTCACAGTCGATGACATTGACATCGCATCATTCCACGGTACTTCAACTGTCGCAAATGACAAGAACGAGTCCGATGTCATCTGCCAACAGATGAAGCATCTTGGACGCACCAAGGGTAATGCAATTATGGGTATCTTCCAGAAGTACCTCACTGGTCACCCTAAGGGTGCCGCCGGTGCCTGGATGTTCAACGGGTGTTTGCAGGTCTTGGACAGTGGTCTCGTGCCGGGTAACCGCAACGCCGACAACGTTGACAAGGTTATGGAAAAGTTCGACTACATCGTCTACCCCAGCCGCAGTATCCAAACCGACGGTGTCAAGGCGTTCTCCGTCACCTCCTTCGGTTTCGGTCAGAAGGGTGCGCAGGTTATTGGTATTCACCCCAAGTACCTGTACGCCACTCTTGACCAGGCTCAGTACCAAGCCTATAGGACCAAGGTCGAGGCTCGCCAGAAGAAGGCCTACCGTTATTTCCACAACGGCCTGATCAACAATAGCATCTTCGTTGCCAAGACCAAGGCTCCTTATGAAGACGCTCTGCAGAGCAAGATCTTCCTAAACCCCGACTACCGCGTGTCTGTCGACAAGAAGACCTCTGAGCTCAAGTACTCGGCCACTGCCCCCGAAGCCAAGGAGTCCGAGAGCACTCGTCAGACTCTCGAGTCCCTTACCAAGGCCAATGCCACCGAGAACTCAAAGGTCGGTGTTGACGTCGAACACATTGATTCCGTCAATATTGAGAACGAAACCTTCGTCGAGCGCAACTTCACTCAGAATGAACAGGACTACTGCCGCAAGGCTGCCTCCCCACAATCCTCGTTTGCAGGACGATGGAGTGCCAAAGAAGCTGTCTTCAAGTCTTTGGGTGTCAGCAGCAAGGGTGCCGGTGCTGCTCTGAAGGATATTGAGATCGGAGTTGATGCCAACGGCGCTCCGGTGGTCAACGTGAGTGCATGTTTATTCCCCTGATTCCAGTGACAACGCTAACATATCTCCAGCTTCATGGTGCTGCTGCCGCCGCCGCCAAGCAGGCGGGTGTCAAGAAGGTCAGCGTTAGCATCAGCCACAGTGACTCGCAAGCTGTTGCTGTCGCGGTCTCGCAGTTTTAGAGCGCCGCCCATCTTGTTTTTGTGTTCGCATGTAGATCTTAGAGGCTAAATGTTCTCTTGGGTTGAGACGTAATGATTGTGATTTATGTTTTCTTAGATTTCGAACCAGCTTTGTCTCCTGGTTCGTTGTGCTTATAATGGGAGTGATGACATTGATTAGTCCTTTTCTATTTCTTCTGAATTATCAATTAGAGTATGTTCCCTTCACTGGCTTGTTCTCCTTAAAAAAAGAGAAACCTCAAGAATTGGACCTCCATCCGGCACACATCGTTAAAGACGGATCACGGTTCCGTAGTTATACAACCCAACCCGCATGTCTTCACCCGACCTTTTCCTAAGGTATGTTGTGACCTTTATACAGCTCAGCTTTGTCAAAGCTACACTTTGAGCTCACGAATCATATCTTTCCGCCTCCAGACCGGAAGTCATATTCAGGGGCCAGTATTCAGCCATGATGTCCTAATGTTCTAGCTGCGGGAACTAACCCAGGATTCAAGGGGACTCAATTACCGAGATCTCCTAGCTGTTACCAGGCCAAGAAATTATCTGAGTTTCATCTCTTCATTTTGGTCACCACTTAAGAGGTATCTAATGTGGGTAGGGGCCCAAGGTATCTATGAATGTTCATTGGTATGTATGTAAAAGATAGTTGCTCATGGTAAAAGATATCAGGTAGGTGCTCTTTATGAACAACGACGAACAAGGATAGACCGCCTATAGAAGATATTCATAGTTGAAGCATTGTTGATCACAAAGTGTCTGCTGGACAATGATTGGCAGATAGGAGATTTAAAAAAACAACATGGAAAGTATTCAACAACTGATTTTTGACTTGGGATTACCATAAGCAAACCTTCAGTTCCCCTTCCAGGGACCTGGTCGCAGCATCCGATCTTCTTTTCCGTAAACACTGACATCCTTGACAATGGCAATGAATCTCCGGTGGTTCTCCTTGGATTCGCCAATACGAGGACGGAAAACTTTCAAGAGGTCGCTGCTCAGAATGCCAGATGCTGGGATGGCCGCATGGATTTCCCCGGCCGTAGGGAACGTTTGGATTCCAGAGATAGGAGTCGACACACGATGGCCTGCGGATAGTTTAGTTCGTGTCTTGTATCCGAAAATGTACGTTATCCGGAACTCACCTCTGATGCCGTCGGGGCTGTTGGCGCGACTTCCGGGGAGTCTAGGCAAAGGACTTGCGGCGCGAGACCCTTGTGGAGTGCCACCTCGAGAAACCGAAGGAGGGGGGTTGAGTTTCAGTTTCTTGATCTTGCCACCCTCGGTCATTTCAGCTCCAGATCCGACACCAGTGTCGACATCACTGCCAGAACCAGCGCCACCAGTAATGTTTCGCACACGTTTCTTGCCCTATAAAATCAGTATGTATTGACCAGAGGGGAATGCTCGCACAAACCTGCAAAGCGGATGGAGAGATCGGACGCGACGGGGGTTGAGACGCAGGGAGATGCATGCTTTTCACCTTCTTTCGAGATGTGTCGGTGCCGCTCGCATCAGAAGCGTTTGGTGATCCAAGCCTTTTCCGAGATCCAGCAGCTGAGGCTTTTTTCAAGGGGTCTGTATGCTTGGGTCGGCCGGAGGGGGTACTTGATCCCTTGGAGAGGAGCGCTTCTTTCTGGTTCTTTTCTTCTTCTGCCTTCTTCCGTTCCTCCTCCTTGGCCCGTTCGGTTTCGCTGTCGTCGGAGCTCTGTCCACATTAGTCTTGGGTTTGCTGTCACAAACGGGTGAAATTTTACCTCCTCATCCGTGTATGGGTTGACGTCGGAGCCGCTGCTGTAATCAAAGTTTCGTTCTCTCTTCTTCAGAGCCTTGCGAACACCCTTGCCCAACACACGCCGGGCCTCTCTTTCACGTTTCTCTCGCATTTCTTCGGCATCATACTCCTTCTCGTCCTTGAGATCGAACACATTCGCCTTAAGCTGATCCTCTTTAATTCTCTTTTCGGCATCCTTCGCATCTTCATCCTCAATGAAGAGGTCATCGTGCTCTTCGTCATCAGCAAATCGATCTTCTTCGAAATCCATTTCACCGGCCTCCAATCCCGCGCCATTTCCGATATTTGTGCCCTGTTTACCGGCGTAGACTTTGCGCTGTTTGGCATATGTTGCCAATTCTTTTTCTTGCTCCAGCTGCTGCTGTTTTTCCATGAACCATCGAGGGTCTTTCACTCTCTTGGCCATGAATTTCTCGGCCTCGTCAATGGTCAAAGCCTTAAAGTTACTCTTAGCATTGAACTTGTACCACTTTTCGGCCGGGATCATTCTCATCTTTCCATTTTCAAGAACAAAGACCGCATGTGTTTCTGACAGAGCTGCTTCGTAGTTTCCAACCCAGGTGTGCTGGTTGTCAAAATCCTCCAGATGCCATGGCAGGGCTTCTTCATACTTGATCCGTGCTCTTGCGATCTCCTCGGGGGTCATGTCCGACTTGAAAACCTGCTGCGTCTTCTGCTTTGGTGCATTTGGTCTTTTCGAGGTTGAGCCAAGGGCGGGAGCAATTTGGGAAAGGTTCTCGGCACGTTCCTTTTCGCGTGCTGCCTTGCGAGCATCAAATGCTTCGCGTTCGGCTTCATCCATTGGCTGGCCATCGATCTCGGACCTTCCCGAGTTTGGATCATGAGTTCGCGAACGTGGGTCGCGGCGGTGAAGTCGGACTGGTCGAGTGAATTGTGATTCGTCACGAGGGTCGACGCTCTTCTTCGATGCAAATCGTGCGATGTGGTGTTTCAGTCCCTCCATCAGAGCCCTCTTTGTCGTCACCACCGGATAATCAACGTATTTATCACTAAGCAAGGGGCCGCTGAACCCGTTCGCTGCCATGTGGTTGTTTAAAATCTCAAGCATAGGCCGCTCGGATGGAAAGATTGCTTGAGGGTGGGACGGGCGTGAGGGAAGAGTCTTAGTGGCTGTTCTATTGCCGACGGGAGTGGCGCCAGCTGGCTTGGGGACAGGCCTTCTCTTCGGTCTAACCAAAGGATCTGCTGCCTTTGGACGACGCATCCTCATCAGCGGTGCACCATTTGGTCCAGTTGGAGTACGAGCGTTCGAGGGATTCGTTGGGGTTGACATGTTGTCGACGTGCAAAACAGAGTTGCACGAGTGGTAGGAGGCGATGTGACTGGTTGCGTCAGAGTCGGAAATACAGAACAAAGGTGAAAATGTGCCTCTCTTGTGTTGCGACAAGGGGAGAGCAGTTTCAATAAAGAGTAAAAGATCGGTAAGCCACTTGGAAAGAGCTGGAGGCAGCATACCGGAGGTATGACGGTTGACCTCGGAGCAATGTTTTCCCGCCCCGCTGTCACGATCCCGTGACTCGGACAGTTCCCCGACGGTTATGTCATCCATGCATCCGGAGGCTCTTTGACCGAAAGATCACCTCTACAGGGCGTGAGCTCTAACTGCTGGTCTCGTAGGTCATAATGAAGTGTGTAGAAAGTTGAACCAAAACGGAAACGTAGAGGATAAAATTACTACACCTTGCTTGATCCCAATGGTATCTTCTCCGATTAACTGGCTAGGGGCTAGATATATTAAGTTGAATTGCTGATGTATTCTGAGTCGTCTGACTGGAATTTACATTTTTCAAGTAATGCAGAATCTACTGACCGAATCGTTGACCCGGTTCCAGTGGTTTGTATGGACAAGCAATCCAATCACAACCCTTGACACTGTCAGCAGGCATCAAACAGCCAGATGATTATCAACTTACTTGTTTATAAATCTCCGTCCCCCACCATTTGAAACCATCGACCCAGCCAGGGTAAATGAAGACGAAGAAGACAACGACGACTGCAAATGCCAATCCAGAATCCAATGCGGCCGACAAGGTCATCGCATATTTCTCCCACCACGCGGTCTTTCTTCGGCGGATCACATAATTAAACACAAAGCATACAAGGGCCCAGATGGAAAAGTTGAGCCCGGTTGCAGGTGGTATCCAGCTCAGACTGCCAAACAAGATGGGGAAGTTGACCATACGCCAGAAGCTCTTCTTGCTGTGTCTCCCCAGAATCCATGCTCCTAGAGGAGCGACGGCTCCCACTAAAAAGGCCCAGACAAGCGGACGGTAGAGCCCTCCTGGGCCAAAGAAGCGCTGGGGGCCAACGACCCCCCAGAGAATACTGCCATTGAAATGTACTCGAGCAATGGGGCAATTGAACCCATTGATGGCCTCCGGGGTGCAAATTCCCGGGACAAAAGTGAACATCCAGTTCAGCACACCAATTTGGGTCAGACTCGAGATCAAAGTCGCCATCATCTGGACGCCAAACAGAATTCGTGGTGGGATCTTCATGTAATGGCCAAGTTTGAGGTCCGAGGAAAATTTGATCCCTTGTGCAGAGCTGATATATGAGTAGGTCACGAAAATCATGTTCGCCACAGGCCTTCCTGGAAATACGATACCGCAAAGGAGCTGACAGATCAGATAGAGGCTACTGTGTTGATTGGTGACAGCCATGATGATACCCACTGGGATGAAAAACACGGAAGTGATACCAAGAGCCAAGAGTAGCCCATACCAAGGCAGGTGCGTTGGGTAACTATCATATCAGGGTCAGCTACTATCAAAGGTTAAAGTCGGGGGGAAACTTACTATTCCACCGTGAAAATGGCTATGGCAAGCATAGAAATGAACACTATGAGATACCACGTGAGGGGAGCGTCCTTGTAGCGCCTCATCAAGCGACAATGAACATCTTCCCCCGTCAATGGAATTTCCTGGTTCGGTTCATGCGGGATAACCCTTGGGGGTTCACAACTCTGTCGAACCGTCTCATTGCTTCCACGAAGGGGCTGGTAAGTCTCCAAGCCCGTGACTTCTCGTCTGTCCTCAAATGCCTTTCTAGTCTGATGCAATATGTCCTTCCCATACCAGCAAATGGTGTGAGTGACAAGAGATGTCAAAGCAGCAAACTGAACACCGTAAGATAGCACATAGGTGATTGGGAGATAGACTGGGGAGTAATCCTGGTAGGCCTGTTCATCGAACAAGAAGTCTGCGGTCAAGATTCGGCTCACATTGTATGGTCGCCCACCATTATCGAATACAGCTGTTGAAACAATGGGCATATATGCAGAGAAAAGAACATTTTTATAATCTTTCTTTGATCAGCAAAGTCAAATGAGATAGCATGGGGAGAACTTACAAAGTATCGGGGCGGCTATCCAGATGACAACCACCAGTCCCGTCACGATATTGGCTGCGGCCCACCAAGGCGTGAGTAATGGGGAGCCAATGTAGGCAATCTGAGCCCAATCGAAGGTCAGGGGGAACATGCCAAGACCAGAGGCAACACCAAACTAGAGTGGTTAGTCTAAGCAGCGGCCATGGACCTGAATGTCTTACCAAGTTCGAAATCACCACATTTTTGGGTGCCAGCCAAGTTATCACATTAAAATAACTTAGAGCAGGCATCAACAATCCCGGAACAAAATACCAGAGAAATGCGCCTCCCCACACAACCACGAAGAATTTATATCGAGAGATACTCCACCCATTTGCCCTTTTGTTGACAGACTTGTGCATTGTCGAGAACATTGCAGTGGACATCAGAGTTCCCGGCCAGATCATAGCCGATGGCCGCACGAGGAATCGTCGTGTTAGACCCGCGAATGCATATCCCAAAACCTGAGTGGATACGATGAGTAGCAGTTGATAGATGATTGGAACATCCTGGTTGTAAAATTTATGTTGCTCGACAATAACCTGCCTTGGTCAGCTTCGTCACAAAGATCTCGTTGGTGCACTAACGTCGGTCGCGAAGGCAAATCCAAAGGATACATTGCTGCTAATGTAGACACAGGCATGCTCCTTCTCGTTCCAACGGCCCTGGGCAAACCAAAGTCTGACTCGGGACGCCAATGGAACAGGAGGAGCATCGATGTCACCGGATTGTAATTCTCGGTGATGAAGGGATCCGTTCTCAAAAACTTCGAGAGGGTCACCTGTTTGCTTGAAAAGAATATCCCAGAATTTCCCCAGTGGATGGACTAGAACAAGAGCAATGATTGGGGTAATGGAAACACTGGGATAGCGCAAAGAAAAGAAGAGATTGGCGGCGGACCCTGTCAAAGAGAATAACAAAGAAAGAATCCACATCCGAGGTGCTGAACATCATTAGATATACGCAGGAAAAAGCACTAGGAAGAAAGCTTACTGTTTATAGAAAGAGATATATTATCTGTCGCCGGAACTGAGGCTCGAACTTGGGCATATGGCGAATTGTCTGGAGGATCCTCACTCGAGGATTTCGAATCATCATCATCAATGTCGAGGACACTTTCATCATCACTTGTCATGTATGGCGAAGACGCCGGTGTCTCCTGCATCACCGGGTTGCCCGGTACTGCCAATCCGGTGGCAAACGAGTATTTCGAATCAGGGCCCATTCCCACATCGGACACGGCGGATGAAGGCCGACGATTTCTCTCTGCGTACAGGCTGTTTCGTCGCCTGACAGCGGAATGTGATCGTCTCGGGGTGGACACTGGTACGTTGGAAGAACCTCCAATGTCATTTTCGAAGCTCGCGCGTTGTAGATCCTCACGAACGGTCTGACCACGCGGAATTGAGATACCATCTTCTGAGTCGTTTGAGCTACCCAATGATCCATAAGAGGAAGCACCCAGGATGGGCGACGAGGGAAGAAGAGGGGCGCGCGACATGAAGGCCCGAAAGCGCTGAACAATCCCAGTGTCGGGGTTCATGTCGGGAGGCAGATTGTCAATTTCGGGGTAGGTTCCATTGTCGCTCGCACAATCATCAAAATTGGAATCAGTTTGATCCGATTCAGCGGGAAGCCACTTGCGCCTCGGGGCCGAGGGGCAAGACAGCTTCCGCGTCCGCAGTGGAATATTGGCCGACGTGATGGTGGGGGGGATGATGAATTACCGAATTTATTCAGGTTAGGTCGTGCATTAGCTCGAGATCGATCTGGGCATCGAGGAATCAGAGGAGAGAAAACCACAGAGCTAGTGGAGGACTAAGGTGGTAGTGTGGTGAAGAACGACCCATCGTCCCCTCCGGAGCTGGGCTGCCCCACCGACATCGGCAGATTTATCTTCCCTTTCCAATGAAAGGTGACATACGAGGCACGAGATACATCAATATACAGTGTTGTATAATGTTCACTTTCATATGTACAATTGATTTGGTATCTAATCGCTTAAAACAGTTCTACAACCTTTTCATCCTCGTTCTGAGGCGCCTCGATTTGAGGTTGCTCGGACTCCTCTTCACCTTCACCCTCTTCGTCTCGCATCAGGACTTGCACTAACCGGTCACATGCCTCTGTCACATTCTCGTCTTCAACATGCAAGTGAGTCTCGCGGATTAAAGGGTAAACCTGGACTGCTCGCATCTTATCCCGACCTTCTCGAGTTGTGGTCAGGAGGAGCAAGGTTTCTAGATGGGTTGTGATGATGCTGGTGTCGCTGTCTCGTTGCTTATCGGGCGGCAAAAGCTGAAGATCTGGCAGCATATCCGCCGTATCCTCTTCCGACAGCTCCTCTGGACCTGCAAGCGGGAGTAACAGGTAAGGCAAAAGGTTGGCGCCATCCTCGTCAAAGAGCATCGGGTGCGACTCGATCTCGAAAGCCACGTTCTTGATTGTAGATGCAACACCCTTCCTCCGGATATCGCTTTTGTGCTCAGTGAAGACCGTCAGTTTGGTAATGGGGACCACCCCATCGTACTCCTGGCGTTGGGTGAAGTAAGCTCTGCCCTTCTCTGTCTGGGATAGGTCGGCAAACAGGTATGACAGGTAATCATAATTGGCGTACTTGTTGAGATTACCCTCGGCACCCTTCACGAAGCAGTCCATCAGCTGATCGATTGCGTTCTCGGAGGTAGATACGGATTCGGGGATTCTGCGCTTGAGGGAGAACAGATTGTGTAGTTTTTCGGATTTGGCAAGATTGGCCAAAAGCATGGCCACTTCATCAGCGTTGGGTTCCTTGGGATTCTGGGATTGAACGAATTAGCCCCATTCCTGCCTACAGGTATGACACCCGAGGCCACTCACTGTTAATTTTACGAGCAAGGTCTCAACAAACTTGTCATCCTCGGCGAGAAGTTTCAACACCTCTTCATCCCCAGACAAGTTGACCAGGATGGTCAATGCATTCTTCGCAATGGGCTATACAAAAAAAAATCAGTCGAAAGTCACTCCCTCCCCCCTGACACCCCCCATGATCGCGAATAACGCACAGAGTAATCGCGGGCCAGAAGCTTCAAATCGCGAACGGGTAGGAGTTGATGGCGCTTGAACAAATCAGGCTGGGCGGTGGAGAAGCCGACGAGGTTTTCGCAAGCTATGAGCTGTTAGATCATATCTTTGCGCCATGAGAGGAGTTGCCGTACCGATTTGTCTAATTTGGGTGTTGCCATGGTGCAGGAATTCCACCAGCTATAGAAAGATGTGAGTGAGCTGATCAATATCGTCAGTCGCAAACACGCACCTCTTCCAGTTCGGTCGGCATCTTGGAGTATAATCTACAAGCCAAAAAAAGGGCTCCTGCGTGTGTGTTGTCTCCAAAATTGTAGAATCTTAAAGATTTTTTTTTTCGTGGAAGTGGGGGTCCCCGACGTCACTGGAAGCATAGAGATGCTCCAGCCCTCATTACTGTTTGCAATGCAACAAATTTACCCCTACATACGGATTATAGACAGTCTTGGAGGACAGAGGTGGATATTCACTACTAGGTATCACTTTCAATCAATCCATAATTGTACAACATATATGTTGAAGTTACTATCTCCGAAAGAGGTCGGAACTGCCCCGCCTCTAGCGTTCCCGGAGATCGACTCTTTGGCCTTCAAGGCAGCTATACCCACGGAGTACTCCGTACAGCATAGGTAGACCGCAAGCCTACCGTCTCAACCTCCGAGCCATACCATGGAGAACCCAAATCTCAACGAGATCCATGACTTCCTAGTCTCATTGGCCTTCAAGGCCGGGGATATCATCAACAGTGCACTCCCAGAAACCACCGGCACAGGATCCAAAATGAATAGTCCGTATTGATACAAACAGCAAAAGGGGAAAAAAAAACTGATCTCCATAGGTGCCGACCTCGTCACTGAATATGACCGTGCTGTCGAAAACATGATCTCAACCTCCTTGAGGGAGAAATACCCACATTACGAGTATGTATTTTGCTCTTTCGTAGCTGCTCGCATGCTTTCTGATGCTTTATTCTCTTAGGTTCCACGGCGAGGAAACGTATGATCCAGCGCGCCCATTGACCGATGCTCCTACCTTTGTCGTAGACCCCATTGATGGAACGACGAACTTCGTGCATGGCTTTCCATTTGCCTGTGTTTCGCTCGGGTTCGCTGTTGGACGCATACCGACGGTGGGCGTGGTGTATAACCCCTCCACCAAGACCCTTCATTCTGCTATTCGAGGCCAAGGCGCTTTCCTCAATCGTGAAACTCGCTTGCCGCTTAAAGGTGACAATGTCGAGCCCCTGTCGGGACTAGCGAATGCTCTTATTGCCATTGAATGGGGCGCGGATCGTAGCGGGAACAATTGGGAGACCAAGGTTCGGACTTACGAGAAACTGGGCCAGTCGAAGGAAAACGGTGGTGCTATGGTGCGCGCAATGCGAAGTTTAGGCTCGGCAGCGTTGAATTTATGTGCTGTGGCTGATGGCTCTCTGGATTTGTATTGGGAGGGTGGATGCTGGTCCTGGGATGTCTGCGCGGGATGGGTGATTCTCTCTGAAGCCGGGGGCATTATGGCAGACGGCAACCCGGGAGCTTGGGAGGCTCGCCTTGATGGGCGAAAGTATCTTGCTGTCCGAGGTTCTCCAGGCGGAATTGGACAAAAGGAGATGGTGGAAGAGTTTTGGAGTTATGTACAAGGTGACTTGAAGTATTGATTCTCGGGCTAGTTAGTTGAAAATGATACAAAGTAGAAAAGGCCTCAATCAAAACCAACATTCAAATAATTACAGGGTATGCCTAAGGAAACCATATGTACAATGAAAGCCAGGATGGCGCTATTGTAAGTGACGGAAACCAGCTTTAGTTTCCACTTCGAAGCCAGAGACGCTGTCATCCTCGACAACTTCACGATCAGTCCATCGTGCTGAATCCTGTCTCGATACAAGATGTCGGTCAGTGGTGCTCATATGCGATTCATCATCGGCCGGTAATATGTCTTTTGGACCGGAAGATAGATCTTGCGATCCATGGAGATCGGAAACGTTTGGCAAATCGTCTGTACCTCTTGCTGGATTTGGATCGACGGAGTCGGACTGTCCTTCAACCTCATCACCCGAACTAGTCGGACCGACATCCGGAGACTTGGCCAATTCCACATTTTGCTTCAAAGAATCATCAGTCTCCGCAGGGAGAGTGTGGCCGAAATGTGTATCAACCAAGTGTTTCACAACAGGCCAGCCATAGGCATTGGTAAACATGCGCCGCACAATTATATTGTTGTGGGCATCGGGCTCGAGTCGAACAAGAACCTTACGCCAAGTCAGATCACGGTGATAGGCTCTCGCAATTTTTTCTTCAACCTTGAGGCCACTTTCGTTGTCCGTGGTGCCAGCAGGGGAATGTTCAGTGGCCGCCGACTTCGATTGCTTACCCGGTAGCGAACCAAATGCCAATGTGCGTCGCTTTGTCGGTGAATGGGGTGGTATATCTCCTGGGTGGTAGATGCGATCGTGAAAGATTGTCCGCGGTCGCGAGGCAGGGTCCATTATAAATTCCGCAGGTGGTAAAGGCGGCATCAGCAAGTCCCCCGCACACTCGAAAAATGTCGTCTTTGGAGGCGTATGCACTCCTTCGTGCTCAAGCGAGGGGCGTCCATGAGTAGTGGGCAAGGTGCCATCGCCACCGCCATCACTGGTCTCCAACGTGCTCAGAGTCTGGCTACGCTTATAAATTCTAGCATTTTTGCTATTAGGGGGGTTACTGCCCAGACTTAGGCGAAAAAGCGAGAAAAAGCTGTCCAGGGGACTGTGAGGCGCACTTCCCGAAGAATTTTCCTTCGCCGCACCCTCCTCTAAAAGTTTCTGGCTGGACACATGACTGGGTGCTGCTAGGAATTGTAACGGCCTCGGGGAGGTTATATCTTCGTCCAAAATATCGTCTTTGGGCCTTGCAGAAACCTGGGTCGCAGAAAATGCATCTTGATGATCGGCCTCCAATGCTGGGAGGCTCAAAGGCAGTTCTCCATCGGGGCGAGCGAGTCGCGGGGATTTCGAGTTGGCGCCTGTCAACTCTGCCCACCCCCATTCAGCCACAGTTCCAACAAGTCCATTGTCTCTCCTCGCCTTTTCAACTCGATCTAGACCTTTCCAGTCTAGGAAAAAAAGCGAAGATGTTCGCAAAGGAACTATCCCATCATTCACCACATTCGAATACACTGTGCGATGCTGGAATTTCTTAAGAACCTCGTGGGCAGGACCACAAGGAAGAATCCGTAGAAGCGGTTTGGCGCCAGGATCCGAATTGCCGGGGTCTGTTGCAGATTCTCCTCTTCCAGCAATAATGGCCCCCCAGCCACTTCGAACTTTCGGTGCCGTCCAGCTCAACCCGAGATCCTGGCCGGTGCGACCAACTAGACCTAAATCCAACGCAAATCGAACATACAGTGGATTCTCATTGCTAAGACCGAGAAAAGGGGTTGCAAGAGCAATAAAGTTAACAGGCTTGATTCGCTCAAAAAATTGTGGCGAGTGCTTTTGGATATATGCGATTGCATAGGTCTGAACCAGCCCTCCGAGAGAATGGCCAATAAAACTAATGCTCGTAATCTGGTAGGCATGGTCTTCATTTTGAAATTCTTGGGCATCCACTTGGGGGGTGGATTCCGCAGAATGAGCAGATTGTTGAGCTCGCTCCTTGCGAGGACTGAAAGACCGGGGAAATGGTTTCGACTTTGAGCCCTTCAGAGGGAAATAGGGTTGATCGGGATACGTGAGAAGCAGGACATATTTGGCCAGTCGTTTACCGAGGTATTGAATCCCACGTTCAGTCCGAACGGCATTGCCCGAGAACCCTCTGACAATAACTTGCTCTTCGTTGTCATCGTCGAGGTTATCACCAGACTGGCTATTTTGCTCCTCCTCAGCATGAACGGATTCACTGCTGACAAAATGAGGAATTAGAAAGTTTGTATACCCAAGCGCTCAAAGAAGGATCTCATACCTTGTCGGATTTTCTCGATCATCCAATCCAACAGGGCTGACATGGGGAGCTTTGGCTCGATTGTCTTTCATTTTAGACTTTCTCATGGCTGCGTCAATGCTCTCCTTAAGATAGAGCATGTCTGCCCCGAGATTGCTGTGCAACCCATGTGTCAATAACACGAGATGGACCTTCTTCTTGGCACTTTTCATCGGAGCCTCAGGAGAGACCTCCGGCGCTGGATTGTCACACAGAGGTTGCGACTCTTGACTCTTCTGATCAAGGCTTTTGGAAGCCGGCTTCGCCGAGGGGAATGGCGGATTGTTCCATAGACTACTTGTATCGTCAACATGAAGAGCGATTGCTTTTGAGTACACTCCCTTCGAGGCAAGCACCTGACTACCTCTAGTTTCAGGTAGCCAATGGTCTTGTAACTTTGCCGGAGGCCCGGAAGAACCATTTCCGCCACTCCATGCACCGCCCGAGGAACACGCCAGGGAGTTTTCATCACGGCCGACCAGCAGTTCAAAATGGACCGCTGCGCTACTTGAGAATATCACCTGCGATTGTATCTCAACAATCCAGCTAACGCTGTGTCCACTTGCCGGTCCGCCTTGACCCGGAGAGCCAAAATCGTGCGCTTCCAGGAGACTAGCCGGCACCTTGATGACGGCGTCCCAGCCACCCCCAGCCTTCAGGTATGGTTCAAACTGCGGTTGACCATCTAGGTCCTGTCGCTCATATTTGGTGTTGGGGTCAAACTGCGAGGGATAGCACGCGGCGTATAGCGTGTACGGGCCATGGAGGTATGCAGCGCGCAATGGGCTGGCAGATGTATTCTTCACCCTCACGTAGAGATTTGTAGGAATAGGAAGGATGTGATCGGCCGCTGGATTGTATGTAATGGTGTACCTGTTGGACGATTTCCTATTAGCGACCCAGGAGGGCTTCAGACTTGAGGGGCAATCCAGACAAGACTCACCTAACGACTTCCCCAACGCGAACACTGCCAACTTGGTGGATTAACAACATTTCGGCCACTTTCTTGGTATCCACCGGACTTTTTCGCCAGCCGGAGAAGGTATGAAATCGCGACCTTTTATTGCAGGGCTTTGCTGCACCTTGGTCTGGGGTCTGGGAGGCCAAATAGGTGCGCGCAGTGATCAGCATCGAATCTAATGGGCAGTTCCATTCTAATCAAGCGAATTCCAAAGCGCTAGATAAGAGAGACTAGCGAGACAACAATGATTTCATTTGCTGGCGCGTCCCATATGCTGGGATGGGTGGAGTGTGGTGGTTTACGGGGGTCCAATCCCGGAGATGGCGGAAAACACATGATGACCATCACTTTGCGGATCAACTACTCTACGAACTGGCCCTTGTTTACAAACCATAGACAGTGTACTCTTCAGTTCTAATCTAGTTTAAAATTCTATCGCAACTTTCGTGAACCTCTACCTAATTGATCAAATTCAGCAAACGGCTAGGTTCTTTACGAATCTCCACCCAACCATCTCTTTCGACGCTGACGATCTTTCCATCAATACAGACGCGTCGCCACTTCTCCTCATCTTCTTTAAAATCGATTCGAACCTGCTCGATGTTGGCATAGGTTACCGTATCTTCTATCACATGTTGACCGCCCTGATAGGCCAAAGTCATCAACTGCATCGCGTCTTCCGCCGACATGGGACCGAAGCGGATAAACCTCATCTGTCCATCCAGGGGCACCGAGTCTGGGGAAATCAAGAAATCCTTTTCAAGTCGTGGAACGAGGGTAGCAAGTGCATACATGTGCTCTAGCCCCTCCACTGCTTCTTGGGCTCGTGCCTTGTTCGGGCCATTCGAGGTAGTTAATGTGATTTTGCCTTTGAATTGGTGAGGCGGGGTGCCATCCGAGGGATTCAGTAGCTCTTGTGCGGCCATCTTGAAACGATCGACTCCAAATTTGCGATACTCGGATGTGTCGCTGTCTGCAACTAAAGCAGCATGGAGCCCCCAGCTCGCAACAACGGCCCCGTATAATGTGTGTTGGGCATCGGGGTTGACTTCGGCTCGCTGGCGACCTTCATCGATGACTAACCGACTGCCAGGTGAAAATCTAGCAGCAAAGACCGGTATGGAAGATGGGCTGCCTCGAAGTAGTGTTGAAAGACCCGGCACCGGACCAGATCGTAATCCAATGGAACTTGCCATGGCATTCCCTGTCCCACATGGAATCAACACAATATTCGGGGATACACCAATTGTCATCTTGGATTTGTAGAAGATTTCGAGAATGTCGACGAGGCCCCCGTCGCCCGAAAGAAGGATGATGGTCTGAGGAACGCCATCATGCGCCCGCTCCAGGAACTTCGATTGTGCGAGCTCGATAATAGTTTGTGCCGACTCTGTTTCGTAGGGCTCATAATTCTCTAGCCCAATATATGTAAAAAGGGGCCGCACAACATCTTCAAAGACAGTCTTTGCTTTCCCCGTTCCGGATCCAGTAGATACCACCACCTGCACGATAGGTGGCTCGTCTTCAGATCGAAGATGGCTTGGAATCTTGGTCAGAAACGGAGCCAGCGCAGCAGGCAGGGACTCGATCTCGATCTTTCTTAGGGAAAAGTCCTCGGATTTGGGGCCATCCAGTTCGGTTTTCTCGAAGAACAACACACTAAACCCGGGTGGATTGGACACCACGCAGAGAATATTATTGAAGTCAAGGGAACACTCAACGCCTGCGTGAGATGTGTGTTTCAGGATTTTATCAAATTTATCGACCGCCAAGGGATACGACATCTTTGATATCGCTACCCAGGTGATCATGTAGCGTCGTGAGGGAAAATCCACAGTTGGCAGGGCGGGGTTTACGGCCCGGACTTTGAACCATCTTACTTTGGTTTTCGATAGCAGAGATTCCCCTTTTTGATCAAGTTTGCTTGGCTCTCACTTCAGAGAATCACATCTGAATTCCTCAATTCTTTGCTCGGTACAAAATCGATCGAAGAGAGGCCCATCAAGTCCAGTCAAAGCCTAGACAGGAGATAAGATGATTCAATCCTTGTACCCTCATCCAACTTCTATCATGGCTCCGCCAAGAACACGCTAACCTTTGCTAGCGGGTATTGCATCGACCATCTACACCAATTTGTAGGTTGTTTAGTGGAGCAAAGACAGTATTCAGATGAAACCAAGGCAAATATTACTAGCGCCCGAAGATCGGCAGGATCTACAGCAGAATTTTGAGGGTACGGAGTAGATCGGCTGAGCTCACTATGGATTTATATGCTCACTTGAACGAAAACACCCTGGTTATCTTTTGTCTGAGTCGTTTGCCCTTTTTCCATTTGGTGTAAGGCGTTACTCTTTGAATGGGGAAACAAGGGCGAAGATAGATTCCTAGGGAAGAAACAAGGTCCAACGAGATCTCCTCTATCAAAGCGGTTCGTCATTGCTATTCGGCGGGAATGAAACAAGGTGCTTGGATAGGTACTCCAGGTACTGGTCATTGCCCATCTTATCACGGTCCACTAGGATCGCGGGGTTTCAATGTGACATAGCAAGGGCTGAGTTCAAGCAGGGTTAATTATTGGAAATAGCCCTTGTAATTAGATCAATCTCTGGCAGTGTTCCGAATTTGAAAAGGAGGGCGACAAAACATCTCTCCGTCAAGTTCTTCAGAGTCACGCATGTGGACCTGCCTCTCTCTCATAGGCGACCGATTGATAATTGGGGTTCTTTGTTTCACTGTCCCGGGAAAAATGATCGTTTGGTTTCTTTTCGTTATTCACTTCCTTAGTTAAGATCACCAGGGCCAACTTGAGCGGTTGTTCCCGCAGACTTGGCCGCGACCTCCCAAGGTTGGCCGGACTATACTAACTACTGGCATGGATATTTGAGGTCTTTTGTAATCGGGAGTTTTGAAGGAAGGTTAGAGATGGTGTATGAGTTTCCAAAAAATGGAACAGGTAAATCGTAGATCCGTCATTTACTAATTTCTTGATACAGCCTTGACAAGGCAGGGGGTACATAGAAGACAACCCTACCCAAAAGGTGCCGGTCACAAGATAGAGGATAAAAATAGTCATCACAAAGATAATATTCCCGAGAGATCGATCTTAATCCTGAGCTGGGGAAACATCACGAGGGGGGGGAAGGTGAATTCTCAGAATGAGAGCTATGCTTGTCACTGAGGTTTACCGCGATGAAGGTCTTGGGTAATTGCACACTACATGCTGTGATCAACATAAAATCGAGAGAGGTTAAGGTAGCAGACAACTTACGTGTTGAATTTCGCCTTCAAAGTTTCAATCACCTCCTTCCAGTCCTGATGGGCTGTCAGGCTTCGGCGTGGGGTGCAGCCGATAGAGTGCCTGGAATCAAGCTGCACGTCAAGCGGGTCGAAGGCGTGACAACCAGGGCTAACTGAGATCCGAATGGAGTAAGAGTAGGAGTCCGATTCGCTGTCGCGAGCTTCGTATAGCTCAAAGCAAATCTGAGAGAGGTAATCAAGTTCTGGGATGGCACTCCTGGCAATCTTAGTTTGAATTCCTCCTTCCAAGATACAGTTTAAAAGGGTATATATGTGAGATTCCTTGGTGAAGTAGAAGAAGGACCTGGCATCATCCGAAGCCTGCACTTCTTCTAGATCTCGAACGATTTCTTGAAGAAGGGGGAGAGACGTTAGAAGGCCAATCTCGAGTTTTTCGCTGTCGGTGATTCCGTATTCCTGAGGCGTCACGTAATCGAACAAAACCTTAGCTAGCTTGTACAGTTCCCGGAGCTTCTTGAGACGCTCATCCATCTTGCACTTGGAGGATTGGGAGCCAGGGAAAAGCTTGAAGTAATGATCGTATGAATCATCTAGTGCCCGAAGGTGTGGCAGTGACTCGAGAGTAAGGATACGTTTTTTCAACCCAAAGCGATGGGCAAACGTCTGAGTTTCGATGCGCTCTTCAGATTTGTCGTTCCCGGCATCCTGTCCAAGTTTCCCCTCCGCACTCGCGTCTGCCTTTTGTGCGCTATTGCTTTTCTGTTCTTCGTCTTGGTCACGTGGACTACCTTGAGGCATGAAGACCCATTCCAAAAACTGTCTATTATGGAGTGCATCGAATTTCATACTGTCGTATAGCTCTGAAAGCTTGCTCGGATCCACCTTCTCAGTGTCACAGAACTCTGCAAAGAGTTTTTCCCACCGCTCCTTGAAGAGTCGAGGGTCTTCACCCGCGCACCAACGGCCCTGTATGCTTGATATGTCAGGGGGATTCATGGAGGCTAATTGGCTCGGGGCTTCAGAGTCATTGGATTGAGCCTGGAAGACGTGCGGTGCGTTGTCGAGTTTCTCAAAGTTGTCTCGCATGACGGCCCGGTGGAACTTCATCAGTTCAACTACTCTAGCAAGGACGACCGAAGGTTCTGGGATATTTTTGTCCTTGGGCCAAGCAAATTGTGAGGGTGCAGAGCCTTCTCGCAAAAGCAACTTCAGCTTTTTCTTGACCTGATCCATAACATCCTTGGCGGCATTTGAATCGTCAAGCAAATCTTTCCGCACTTTGATCAAGTCTTCAGGGATATCTTTCTGGTCCAAAAATGAGCATGCCCATATTTGTGCTTTAAGAAAAGTATTAGCTGGATGCAGGTCCTGACAAGGAAGAGAACTCACCACTGGTGCTCACTCTACGTTCCGAGCTGGTAAATACGCGAACGTTATTCAACGCCTCCTTATTCATCAGCTTGAGGTCATCCCGCATATTGAGTCCAAGATCCTGCGATTGATAACGCGCGGCGTGTGTGGGCTCACCACCCCACTTGATTACAAGCTGTAGCTTGTCCAGGATCAAGTCATTCTCGGCGGCAGAGAACCGAGAAAAAGTCGCGTCGGAGATGGAATCACTCCGTGTCTGTGATCTACGCAAGTCTTCGTCCTCTGCCATGAGTCCCTCTCCCTCAGTAGGCATAGATGCAGGTGCAGGGGGCTCTTCAGAGGGCTTGGCCTCGGGCAATGGAGTTGAAGATTTCAGTGGGCCCTGTTCTCCCATTTCTTCTGGCTTTCGTTTCCGGAACATTGGCTTGATCTGTACTTTGGTACCAGGCCAACCGCCCTTTTTCTCCAAAGATGTGCGGAGCAACTTCAGCTTCTCCATATCTTCTAGGCCCTTCTCCATAGCCAGCTTGACGGCATCAGATACACTGGACAATGCAGCTTCCCCCTTGATCACTACTTCATTCTGGTGCCCTTTCAACAAATCCACAAAAGGTTGGCTATGAAAAGTGAACTTGAATTTTTGCTTCGGGGTCCGATCTGCGTGTCGAATCACTGCCACCATGCCCTTCAGCTTCCAGGAGTGTTTTGAAGCAGGAAGGGGTGGAAGGGCTTCGTCGCCAGCGTATTGCACCGAAAGAGCCGGAGATTTCGTGTTAGAGGAGGTATAGCCACGAGAAGTAGAGTAGGCTTCTCGGGAATTTAACTTGCTGAGAGCAGCGCCAATATCGGCACTCTCTATCCCAGATGACGCTACTGATGGAGTGCATGACTCTGGGGGCTCGGCAGTTTTTGGACTTTGGCCGTAAAGCCTGGAAGTGCTAGGAGACTTCAGTAATGTCTTGAGGGATTGACGATGAGATCCTGCCGTGCTCCTTCTGCATGAGCCTATGTCCGGTGATGGCGGCTCGGAAGATTCTGATATCCCCTCACATTTGCGTCTTTCTTCCAGGAAAATATCCCTGAGAATGTTGGCACATTTATCGTAATAATCATTGTTGTCCTTGACGAAGCTCCAGCCGTTGACGTCAATGACGTAGCTTTTATCCCCCACGCGGAGCATGTCAAAACCACAAATTCTTTGACCAAATCCATTTGAGATCTTTGATGCAATTGTGGCCTCCTCCTTGCCAAGCTTCGTAATGTATCGTATTTCCTTTCCGTGGGTATTGCGCCGAACGAGACCGTCGACTACGGGAGATTTGCGCGTCTCTGCGTGACAAAAGTCTGGCCCGACGGTGTAGGCTTTGACATCTTCTGCATTGTCAACCCTAAGGAACTGTTCGTACAGATAGCTTGCATCCTTCTCGGTGACGGATCTTGGAACAGTCAGATTGGGGTCGTATTCCGAGCTTTTGTTGCCGACCTTGCGGAACAGTCTTCTTCCACCGCCGCCGTACTGTTGGTCGTTGGGGAAGTAGATGTGAATGTTATGGTCCTCGCCATTGACAGGCTTTTCAACAAAGGGCTTTTTGAAGACTTTGCCGTCAACAATCAAGGCCTCGCCATCTTCAGACATTGAGACACTCTGGGTTTGAGGGGCACCCCCACCAATTCCGCTCTCTGGACCTTCCAGCTTCACACCAGTCAGGCGGTAGATATGCTGGCCTAGTTCTGGCGATTCTAGAACCGGGCCACCATCGCGGTTGACCTCTATCCGCTTCGGGGTGGGAACACCCATATGATCCAGAATCCTCAGGCAGAGCCGCCTATCCCACAAGACCTTTTGCATAGGCAGGTCATTAACACAGAGCGGTTTGCGAAGTTTAGCATACGCAATGGCTTTGTCCAAGGGGAATCCATCGGAGAAGAAAGCAACCAAGAAGTCACACACGGGCCAATTTTCCACTGCTTCATCGAGAATGACCTTGTCTCCGAAAACGATCACCTCAAATTCGCCTTTTGATTGGAGTCGAGTCAAGATATTCTGGCTTGGTTTGCTGCGTGCTTTCACATCCAAGGCACAGACTCCGATCCTCCACGGTTTCAGGGAGCCGGATTCCACCTCGCTGATCGAACTCGCAGTGGTGCTGGCGGCGGTACTTCCGCTGAACCTTCTAGTTGC